ATAGCTTCGAGGTTTTCGAAGCCCCTTGCTCTGTAGGCAATTTTTCAATCCTTGCAGTAAAAATTGCCTACACAGCAAGGAGCTTCGAAAATCTTAAAAATCTTCCAAAGTTCTTTCGCGTCGAAATAACGCGTTTCTGGAAAATTTTGTGCAGTACCCTGACCCCTTGATTTTTTACGCTCTTTCACGTGCCGTAATCCGTTTTTCGAAATATCATCTACCAAAAAAGTTATCGCAATTTTCAAATTCGGGAACGCTTGTGACGTCATTTTTCGAAGACGTACGTCCTTGAAAACACAAAACATGAATAGAGCGCTAAAAAATACCTCTCTATACAAAGTTTCAGCCACCTATAAAAAAATGACGAGGAGCTATATTAATTTGAACGAAGAAAAATGGCAACTTTGGAAGCGCATAGCTCACGTATGAAGCGTTTTCGGGCGTATGTGTGCAGGAAAAAAAGTCTTATTTTGAGCCGAAAAAGCGATCCTGAAAGTTAAGTACGTTAACTTCCGGACACCCTGTATAAGTCATGCATAAGCCATGCATAAGCCATGCATAGTAGGGACAGATTCCCTTGACATGGCTGTTAATAGTTAATAGGATGTTTTAAATATCTATTTTACAAAAGGTGATACTAAACAATGAGCATCCATGAAAACATCCTATTTCCACTATTTAGAGCCTATTATCTATTAACAGCCATGTCAAGGGAATCTGTCCCGACTATGCATGACATATATATATATATATATATATATATATATATATATATATATATATATATATATATATATATATATATATAAGGTACATATGATGCATTTTGAGTAGGATTACGGTACGTTTATTGCTATAACTCAGGAACCGCTTGGCGGCCCACATTGAAACTTTGGGAAATGCTTTAAGATTATGTAAGGATCACTTACAAAGAAAATAAAAATTTTAAAAAATGCCCTTTTTGAAAAATTCAAATTTGAAAATTCAAAATTTTCAAAAAAATTTCAAAATTTTTTTTTCAAATTTTTTTTTTTAAAAAAAAAAAGAACCTTTAGGTTTCAAAACAAGACCTAGTTCAAGTTTTTCCGATGAGCCGTTGAAAAGTAACAGCCGCTCAAAGTTTTATCGGTCATAAAAAAAACTCAATTTTTTCCAAACTTTAAAATTCCGTATAAAATTAACGGAGCAACCAAATGACCTAAAATTTGGGGAATATTTCTTTTTCAATAGGAACTTGCAGCACACCAAGTTTGAACATGATCCGAGAGGTCAAGGTTCAAAACCTCGTTGAGTTAACATGGACTGACCCAGTTATAGTGATTGACAAACAAGCCATTGAATCACAGGTATCAGCTCCTCCCGTGGGTCAGCTGGAAGTCCATGCAAACATGGCAGCACTGCCAAATTGTGTCAGCCACATAACCAGCACAGCATAACTAACACTTGAATATGTGAAATTAAAGATAATGTAAAAGATGAAACTTGGCAACTCTTGAGATATGAGGTGAAATTAATGCTGCTTACAGAGTTTTCTAAACTTTGTGAACTTCCTATTAGTTCAATAATATGAAATTGAGGATTTTGTGTAGTATGTAATTAGTGTTACAGTCCTCAAAATCACTGGTTTTCCTAGAAATTAAAGTTTTCATTTTAGAAAAAGCTGACTCAATAGTAATGGTTTGGTTAAGAGGACTGCTGTGAACAGTTTGATGACGGTTTTGGAACTCCTGGTTCCATTTGGGGAGATATGCAGTGCACTATGCAGATATGCAGTGTGCCAAATATGGCAACATTCTTTCTACTAACTATTCTCGTTTAAAAATAAACATTTCAGTTCAAAATAGCAATTTTCTTGAACACAAAAGTCTCCTCGCGGCAAATATTGCCCAAGAATCCATGATCAGTACTGATTTACTACCGCAAATTGCTCTTTTGCTTCAAAATCGGGGTGGGCGATGCGTAACCGACCGGACATTCTCGGCCCTTTAAGTCTCACTTTATTGAATACAATCATAATTCATCATACTTTTTAGCATGGATAAGTCCAGGGAATTCATTTCTATTTATATATCAACTTGGTCTTCAATCGTTTTGTCCTAAGTCGACTAAGTCGTTAAGTCCCACGGCCATGGGACTTTTCTTTTTATCGTGAAATCACTCACAAGAAGAAAAGGTGTTTAGAGTGGGATGAAATAATAACTAGCAAGAAAGAAAATGAATGGCCAGTCCATGAAAATGGGAGATTCTAAATTTATTGCTGCAACAACAGACTATAATGCAAGCAGACTATAGTGGCTATGTAAGTGAAAGAGAAGGAAAAGTGAGGGAGGCATGCAGGTGGAAAAATTAAATGAGCTAGCCTGATGCGATTTGGTTTGATGCAAATGCTACGGTTTCAATCCTGTATACTAATCCGCGCAAACCCATGCGTTCCCATTAATGCAAAAGAACTAACTTCCTTCTTTTTTGGGCCTCAGAAGCAGCATTTTCAAAATTTTAGAATTTTTGGTATTCTGAATGTAAAATAACAACTATTAATACCATATGGATTGTCAAAAATTCAAACCAATGTCACCAAGCTACGAACAAAGTACCTGTATCTACTTTTTTTGGCGCGTATACGTAGTATACCGCCTTTACGATCGTTTCGACCCCCCACCCGATACAATAACCGAGTCCCTTAGTTCCTTACCGGAAAGTGACTACCGCGAACTTCTGAGATTTTCCAAAGCGTGTAAAAAGTTTACTTATCCGTCAATAATTATGATTTAAATTTCTTTCTCATTCCGGGGCTTTCTAGTTTATGTGCAATGAATACCAAGAGTCTACGTTACTTGGTTTTTTTAAAAAAAGCCTAATAATGCGCCGCGCTGATTTAAAATATGCATGTATAAGCAGAAGCAAGCGAACTGATTCGAGGATGGCTGAGCAGGTCGGCACTCTTCGAATAAGAATTTCACTCCTCCGTTTTGTTCAAAACGTTGCTTTGACAGGTCTCCAAACCCCTGTTATACTTTTCAAAATTTGGTACCACTGCTCTGATAGCCAAGGCCAGCCAGGGCAGCCGTAAGTGCAATCTGTGATGAGCCTCGAGACTCATTAGACCATTTGCTAAACGTGGCTCATACAGGAATCCACTTAGCCCTCTCTTCCCCACGCTCCTGATCACTGCGTCGGCGTGTTCTCGACGAACAATAGCTAATGAGGGTCGCCTCGCCAGGCGCGGCCGGGATCCTCAGCCCCTCGCCCAATTACTTACGCTTGATTAACCATTTCACCGTCACGCTAGGATTCATCCAATTTTCAAAAAAAATTGCTTCGCGTGCATTTAGCAATTTTTTCCTTACTCTCCGTTAAAACACGAATAAAAAGAGGCCTCATTCATATAAATCGGCCGAATAGAAGAGAAGTTACAGTATTCGAAATCCGAAGAAATCAACGAAACCTTGATTTCTCCATACAAAAAATAAAATGAAGAGAAAAAAGAAATATATAAATTTACAATTGAATATAATTGACCTCAGAATTTTTCGGTATTGAAATTACTTATGTATTATTGTTTCATGAAAAATAAATGCACCCAAAATGACCATAGCATATTGACTTTTACATATGTGCACTCACGAAATTGATTCGTAAATTCAACGAGTGGGTACATCGACCTGGTATATTAAGTTTCTGCGATTATTTATGGCATATCGGTAGATTTTCGGGGTGTAGATTGCTTACTTTCAATTCATGAATGAATAAAGCGTGGACATGGTTGAACTTCTTTGCGTGGAAAGACGTTTAAAATAACAAAATCAAGACATATTTAATGCAATTGCATTTATATCGAGTCAATTTCTTTTCAATAATATAACGGGATTTATACTACCGGTGATTTGGGTATTTTAGCCCCAAAATACCTTAAAATCGATTTTATCTTCTAGAAGTTCGACAGAATTTTTCCTTTCTTCGCTTAAATTATTCCGTAGCACTTTTCTTCAAGAATCTGATAAGATTTTGCTTGGGGCAGATCAAAAAACTTGAATTCGTTTGAATAGCTTTCCAGATTCACAATACACGGTCTCGTCAAGGTGCGTCGTTGACCTTGCAGTGTTGGATCGTGAATTCTCTTGTTGTGCTGCTTGCCTATTTTGAAATCTCTGTAAATGAAAACTAAAGGGGTTGATATGTGCGAGTTAATGACGCGCCTTATCAACACATTGTGTTGGAGTTCACTGCTTGTTTTTCTTTTCTTCTCTTCTCTTCTCACAAAGTTCACTTCCCCTGAAACCAGTACTTATTATTGAAGAATTTTTGTATAAAATATCATCCGCCTTCACTTCAGACCTTATAACAATCAACAGAGTTTGAGCTGTTTTAGCAGCATTCATCAATTCCCCAGGCCTTCATGAGTCAAACGACAAAAACTCAAGTTTAAATCCTCCGGCCATGGTTGGTTTTTTGGTTCTCCGATAGCACTACATATAACTTACTGTCGGAAGGCGCTGTTTGACAGCTGTAATTATCTGAAAAATCTACAGTAACACCTTCTGGCACCCTCTGAATTCAAATCCGAGGTTTTTCTTAAGCGCAATTTTTTAATGTAGGAATCGCATCAGGGCTGAAACATTTCTGTATGAATTGTAAAAATGTGCTTCTCCCATATTAGGTCATTCTAATGAATGTAAAAAAGTGGAAATTTCTGAATGGAAAGGTGTTCCTGGTGAAAAATCTTTATTTTGTCCTTTTTCATGTATCATCGTGTACTGAAGCGAGGACATGTAATAAATGCTAAGGTTATTTTTCATCGACTAAATTTTCTAAAAGAGGCTAGGCGATAGGCCTATCTTGGCCCCCTAAGAGCTATTGCTTACCAATGGTAATCGAAATGTAAGGTTTTTAGTAAGGAATGAAGTTTAGTGCAAACGAAAGATTGACAGACTGATAGTCCTTCATAATAAGTGTCGCTTTATATCAACACGAAAAATTTTTCATTTCCGTCTTACTTGCAGGGATGACATGGAAATGATGCTGAATAAGATAGTGCCTGAGGTAAGTTTCTCACTTCCTTTGATTTTCTGTTTTAAAAATGTATATTCTTATGAGGAAAATTTTAGTAGTAGAAGTAGTAATCAGCTGTCAAACTGTCTGGCAAGATGCCGTTAAGGGGCTAACCACCAGCAATTCTGCAATCATGCTCTCTGAATTTGAATTGTATTAATGAGCTCAATGCACACATCTGCATCACACACTATCACATATTTTTCTGCAAGGATCTAGGGCCGATTGTCGAGTGAACCGAAGGTCGTTTCGGTGCCAGTTGCAGGAACGCCTGAGTAGACAATTTCAGAGGAAGGCTGTGGCCCACTGTGCTGAACTCTGATAGGTAGCAGTTGCATACTTTATGATGATCCTTTTTTCAGTTACCACACATTAAAAGACTGTGAATTGACAACTATCATATGCCCATGTCCCTTTCCCATCCTGTCGCCTTCTAAGCTACAAACAGTTATAGGAGTAGCATGATCATTCATGGTCATAATGATAAATTTTTGAGCATTCTCAAAAACCCATTACCGCGAGGGATCAAACCAATGACCTCAGAGCTGCCAGCAAAGTGCCTTGACCACTGCTGGGCTGAGGCAGGGGTTTTTCTTGGGAGCAAAAATAAGTCGCGTTCCCTGCCTCAAATTAATTTTTTTTTAAAAAAAAAACACTGAACGCTTTTCCGTCTCTTTTACATTTTTTGCTGGAATAAAAATCTTTCCATAAAGACATTTCCTCATGACACAGGCAAACCAGCCTGTGGGCATGGGCATTTTCTGCATCTTTGCGCCAAGACTGACACAAGCAAATTTTGAAAATATTACCAGTTGCCCAAACTGGAAGCAGTCCTTGAACTTCTTAGAAAAACGCAGGAGCCATCTCGGAAAGCTTGAATACGAGCATCAAAAACATTGATATCTGTTTTGAGTCACGTTCAGTAATTTTCATTGCGTAAATTGTATTCTACGTCAAATTTCGATCAGAAGTTGTGTATTTTAATGCTTGAATTCTCTAGTAGTACACAAAGGTACTAGCAGTCAGGTGGCACATGGGAGCATAGTCATAGACTAGAACTTTAATCTAGACCTTAATCTAGCCATCAGCTGATGGCAACAACCTCACTTGTCTGACACTCAAAAATATTCTGCTCTCAATGATTAAATAAAAAAGTATCGCAAAAATTCTTGCTGTCCAAAGTAAGGACATAGTAGCGCCTTTTTAAATTGTTTGATATTTTTTCTGCGTAAAGGTTTTATCACAAGGAAACTAGCAACCATTATTTTTATATTCTCAAGAGACTTGTGTCACACCATCGGCAGCGCATACTGGAAAAATGAAGCATATAATGGAATCAGGTCGCCTCTTTAAATAGCATTATTTTGAGTGGAGAAAAAATAGAAAATTTTGAACCAGAGTTATGGCATGTTTGCTTTGATTTACAGTGTAGTTTAACACTCTTATTTAATTTAATACTCTCAACCAATGCAGTGGCAAATAATATTCATTAAGAAAAAAATAAAAAGACATTCCTGAGCCCCTATATGTGATGTACGTAGGTGTCCTTAATGGTCATCATACATATTTTGTGTGCGTAAGGGTGAAAATAAGTTATTACGTGTTGATAATTGGAATTGATAGGTACAGAAGAAAAAGGAAAAATGAAGCGATCCTGGCGGTTGAAATGGGTGATTCTTACAGACTTAGGGGGAAATGATAGACCCGTAAGGATTGTCGTTAGCTAGTCTGTCACTTACCTCCTTTGTCTTTTGCAGGCACCAGCTTCCTTCAGTAGGATCCCTTCATTTTCCCTTTGTATCCTTTGTCTATTACTTTGTCTATTATTTTCAATAATCACCCTGCAGGAAAATGATACTATAAGTTCATCATCTTATTTGTTTGTCAATTTCAGGGTCTTCCTTACCGACACTCCTGCGAAGGACCTGACGATATGGTATGTTTTAATATTTGACCCTGTAGTATTAGCCGTTCTCCCACTTTCTTTCTCTCATTTCTTGACTTTGAATTTTTTTATAAATAATCATAAATGACCATGAACAACATCTCTGAGGTCGGAACGCTCATCTCTGTTCGAATTTAGAAGGAACAAGTATGCTTAAAAATCTCAACAAAATTCAGGTCATAAAGTTCAAGGTGAAGGCCTCTCACTTCAAAATCTCTTTTTTGGTAAATCCTGCAGTTTTAAGCGTTGCAATGTATTCACGGTCTGTAATCCAGAATTTGGGATTGGGCTAAAAATGGCTGGTCTCAAGCATATTCTTGCAGAATGGGTCCATTACGCGTAAGAAATAGGTTTGGCACAGCCAGTAAAGTAGACTTTGAAGTGTTATAAATTCACAAAATTTGTTTTGTTTTCTTATTTATAGCCTGCGCATGTCAAGGCTTGTTTCCTAGGCTCATCGGTGACAATTCCAATAACGAATGGAAAACTGAACTTGGGGACATGGCAAGGAATCTGGCTCTGCGAACATAGGGATAGAGCAGGCAGCAGAAAGTTGATAGTAACCTTGAACGGATGCTTACACGATTCCGATCAGTCACCTGTAAGTCCCATATCTCCTATAGCTTCTACAAGCAGTTAATAGTGCCATATTATCGACTCGACCTAATTTTTATTCTGAGAGCTCACAACTGATCTCTTTGTTGCACTTGCAAGTGTGCAACAGCTGATACCTTTTTATTCAACTCTGTTGCCGTACTTATACTTTGGAACATTCCAAAATAGTCATTTTAAAGCCCTCATTTCTCTCCTTCTCTCTCTTAAGACTTGATCGCTCGTCTTAACTCTCAAGGAGCTTTTACTTTAATTTGTATTTACCACGTTTATTTTAATCTTGATCTCCAAGGAAATGATGATTAGGTGCAATTGTCCTGTCAGGCTCATTCGTAATTTTATATTTTAGCATGAACCAATCAATAAAATGTCCAATGCATCGACTTTTTTACTGTGTCTCACAAAATTATGTAAAAATGAAATAGGAAAAATCCTTAAGAGGTTTGTCTCATCGCAACTCTCGTGAGCAAGGCTCGGTTGTAAGATAAACTGTCAATAAACAAATAGCTCCTTTTTATTAGACGCCCTTATGATGCGGAGTACCAAGTTTTGCTGCTCAGCATTTGCAAGATTTTCTCGAACATTTTTCTTTCGGGCTTTTCTAATTTCCTATATGCAAGTGTACGGTACTGTACCTAGCTGGAGCGGCTCAGGAGACGGTCATTTTTTTAAAATTAAGTGTTCAGTGTGCAAAAGTTGCCTATCGGCTGCAGGATGAAGTGTGCCAAAAGGGGTTTTCCAAAAATCAAAAATTACCTTCCAACTTTGCAAATATATCCTGAGGATGTATAATTGTAGTGTTATTGATGCATAACTTCAGTTGAACAAAAGTATTCTACAAAAAAACGATGCCTAAGATTGAATTTGGTACCTAAGGGCCGTCTATAAATCACATCACCCATATTTTCAATTTTTCGACCCCCCCCCCTCACCCTATCAAATCGTCATCCACTGGTAGACCCCTTAAAAATTACGTCATCTTTAGCGAACTCCTCTCCCCTCTTTTGGGAGATAAACGCAGAAAATTGATAAAAATCAGTAGATATAGTCTGCATCGTCATGAAAATTATTAATTTCTTTTTGAGTACTAAATGTGTGTCGTGTGCTCTTAAAAAGAAGAAGCATTAATGCAACAGTATGTTATTAGCTGAAAAATTAAACAGTGCAAACTTTATTGCTTTGAGAAAAATTGGAATTATTTATTGAAAAATTGTAAAAATTAAGAGAAAATAAAATACAAAAAAACAATTTTTGCCTTCAGGAAAGCTTACTTCATCCTTGGCTTGACCCCTTTCCCCCTCCAAGTCACCCACCGTCATCTACCGCTAGACCCCCTTCCCTCCTACTTGGGTAATGTAATTTATGGACGGTCCTATAGGGGTACATTTGGTACAAGCTGTACATAGGGGTCAAGGGAAAGAAAGAGACATGACTTTCGTTTTTAGCTAGAAATCACCCTAATGTCACCCTTATTGGCAGAATCATCCATCAATTTTCATGACGCAACACAGGTAAAGGCCATTACAAACAGAATATACAACGGGTTTCTGTTTTAATGTGTTTAATGTTCTCTCGAAGCTCCTTCTTTCGTTTAATGATCTCTGATTTGTGCCCGTTTTTATGAGTCAAATTAAGAGATTCGTCATTCCCTGACGTTAGATAATAAGATGACTTCAAGGTAGAGCTGAGTCTAAAACGATCTAATTTGGTGCCTAATCATCATTCTCATTGATGTATCAGGAGGGATGAAAAAAAAAACAAATATGAATGAATACCTAAGTATTGAAAGTCAAACCTGATCGGTAAAACCCAAAAGTAGCATTGACTATTTTGGACTAAAAAAGGTAGAAAAAAACATAATACAATTCTTGAAATGTACAAATTATGGAACGCCTTTTAAGGTTGCTCTCCTTAACTTTATATGTACACATGCAACGAGGAAAAAGGTTATTGAAGAAAATTTAGCTCCAAAATTTGTTTAAATTCAATGAATTGTTCATGTTAATATGATTGACAAAAGTAAATGCAACATACAGAACAAAAAGTGCATTCGAAATTCTCGTTTAAATTTACTAAACTAAAGCAATAGAACACTCGCAAAAAAGAAAAGTTTCCTAAATTGTATTTTAAACAATCTATGAGAGTTCTTTTTTACAAAAAAATGTTATGAGTTTGTTTGTTTGTTTTTTTTTTTTTAACCTTTTTTAAGACAGTCAATGTTACTACAGAGAATATGTTGATAAACACCATATTGTTGAAAATTTAACCTGATAAATGAAACTTATATGGACTCGGAAGTTCAATTCCTATAATTTTAAATTGGCAATGTAATGTTCTTTTCTCTCAGTATTTTTGAGAAAATCCATTTGGGTGAAATGTCAAGCACAAACCTCATCGGATCAATAGCAATCTGTACATTAAATTCTTAGTTCGTCTTTTTTGATGAAGCTTGTGATTTTCCAATTCCTCCAAGTGGTTGAAATCTCTGAGACAGAGCAGGCATTAATCTGAAGAATGCCTTTGTGTCAAAAAAAGGATTATTTTGAAGGGGCATTCCACAAAGCAAATTATCTCTCATGATTGTTCATGTAAAAAACGCTACAAGAATGAACTGAATTTTTTTCTGGTCTTAAGACAAGTTTAAATAAGTTTTCAGTCACCTGGATCAAAACGTAAAACATCTCTTCCTTACATCTCTGAAATGAGCAAACGTATCCTACTATCGAAAACCTCCTTTGACTTATTTGCAAAGATCCGTCCAAACCCTCAAGTGGTCACATTCCTGAGTTATTTTACCTCCCGAATATTTTTATCTCCAAAAAATGCATTGCTTTATAGATGAATTGTCTGCTGGTTTTGAAAATTAGACAAATATTGAATGTAACCTCATAATAATATGAAAATGAACTCGGAGTAATCATGCTCCAGGGCTTCAAGTTGTTTATGCATCACAATGCAAAGCAGATGTTGCTCCACTCGGACAACTGAACATTCTGAATGACTCTCACTGCAGCAAAAAGAATATCAAATACTAAAAGAATAGACTTACAATTAATTATGAGATCTCTATTACTTATGGTTGACATTCATGAAATCCTCCTTATCTGGTAGGTAGTGTAAAGAAATAATTTTTATTGTTAAAAAATGTAAATGTCAAGGAAATTTCTACATTCCTGACAATGGACGAATCATTGAAGACGGATGAAATTAAAGCATATTAGATTTAGCTTTAAACATTTGTAAAGGGAGTCTAGAGTAATTATTCTGTTAATATGCATTTAGTTTGTTGGACCTCCGACCAGAAAAATCTAGAGTCCCTTTATACCCAGAGTTACGACAACTCACTTTTGGTTGGGCTGAAAGTGGCCTTAAAAAAAATCCAATTCTGATTGGTTCTCGCTCATGGAGTCACAAACGAGTGCACCAAGATGGCGGTGACTCGAATGTGAACAAAAATAATGAAAATATTACCTAATTGTGGTTTATCAAGAGTAAATTGTTATTTCCATCGGTCCAAAATGAAAATAGATTAAGAAATTATTCACAAACCAATCTCATTTTCGTTAAAATTGATCGATTTTGTTGATGTTGTTGTTTTTGTATGACAGACATCGCAGGATTCCTTATCCTTATCCCTCAATATCGTTCGTTTGGGTGCACTCGTTTGTGCCTCCATGGCCAGCCAAGGCCGGCTGCCAGTCAGCTGATAATCGAGTTGTCTTAACTACGGGTATAAAGGGATTCTAGAAAAATCACTCTTTTAGTCCTTCCGAGGTACAAGGTAAAAAAAAATTCTACTTAGGAACTTTAGAAATTTTTCATTTTTCATTGGCTTCTGTCTCTAATCAATATTATCGCAATACTCACCAAAAACTTATGCCTGTATTTATTTTTGAAGTCACCATGTGTTCTCCAGCTCCTCAGAGTAATTACAATTTTATCTCTTGCACACAATAGATCATCATTCATATTGAGTATAACTGGATTAAAAATTATCCAAGCTGATGAAAAGTAATGAATGTTCAGCACTTGATAGCATTTCTTTTCATATCTTTACGCCTTTGAGTGGCATTTGCAACATCTGTCATTACAGAGTCGAGTCTTTATGAAATTTGACACATTTTTGCAGGGTATTTGAGACCAATAACAAGCTTCAATGAACATTGTTTAACGTGGATCTATTGCTTTGACGTAATGTACGCAAGTGCAGTTGACATATCTCAAATTTGAACCATTAGATAGTAGATTATTTTGGAAAAATCAAATTGTCAGTCTCTGGATCAATCTTTAGGGAATGCTAGTTCGAAAACTTATCTTCGAAACTTTAATGTATATGAATAGATCTAAACAGATATGTACCAAGTTACCCTTTTAGAAAAATTCAGTTAGGAGCAGCTTTGAACAGAACCATTCAACCAAGAGCGACGCCAAAAACGACCGTTTTTTGGCACAATTTGGTCCAGCGGGGATTTTTTGAAATACTGGGGTTCAAACTATTATGTTTGGCAAAAAGATTCCTTTGCAATATATAAATCAATCAGAGATGTTTTAAGCAGAAAATCAACAATTGAAACCCACGAATCGAACAAGCTTATCATAGAGAAACGAAATCACATCAAGCTCAAACTGAAAAAAATATGTTGGAGGTTTTATTCTTTCATGCCCCAACTCTTCTACGTCCCGTAAGGTATGTTCACGATAAGGTTTGATGCCTCTTTTCATACTCAAATTATTTTTTTTCAACTTTAAGGACAAAGAGCGACGCCAAGAATGGCACAATTTGGGCCAGCGCGGATTTTTCTGAAATCGGGCCCAAACGATACCTTATGATACCCTAAAACTCTGGTTAAAATTTTAGCTTGAGTATACGCACAGTTTTTGAGAAATGAGGGGGCAAAGTTGCCAAACTGCCATCATTCTGGACAGCATTTCTACAGCAAAAAGACGGGAAAAATGGACGAAAAAGTTACACCTTTAATGGGTTTCGGCTGTAAATCTTCTTATTGGGCCCCCAAGCATTTAACTGTGTTCAGTTTCAAAAATTTTGGTCGCACCGTGGTCCAAAATGAGGAGAAAGCGTCGACAAATCAGGATTCTTTGTGAAATTTTTAAAAATGGAAATAAAATTGTCGGTCTGCTGCAGTTTTCATGGCTAACAATGTTCCCATCGGTCCTCAATGCATGAAATTGTGTTCAGCTTCACAAATTTACATCGCGTAGTGGTCAAAAATGAGAGAATTAGTGGACAAATTAAGATCCTCTGTAAAACTTTTAAAAATTAATTGAAACTGTTGGTCCCCAGTAGAGTTTAGATCCCGGAAAAATTCTCTAAATTCTTTTTTGGACTGTTTAAATCTTTTTTTAATTTTTTCTCTCCATTTTTCCTTCTTTTTTTTAAATTTCTGACAGTTTGCATATTTTATTGAGATAATGCTACAAAGTCTATTCTATAACAACGTTCTATAGACAATACGGTCTGACATGCAGTAATAATTAAGAAAATTAAATACATGAATTTTTCCGGGATCTAAACTCTACTGGGGACCAACAGTGTCACTTCATTTTTAAAAAGTTTCACAGAGGATCTTAATTTGTCCACTAATTCCCTCATTTTTGACCACTGTGCGATGTAAATTTGTGAAGCTGAACACAATTTCATGCATTGAGGACCGATAAGAACGTTGTAAGCCATGAAAACTGCAGCAGACCGACAATTTTATTTCCATTTTTAAAAATTTGACAAAGAATCATGATTTGTCGACGATTTCTCCCCACTTTGGACCACTGTGCAATCAAATTTTTTGAAACTGAACACAGTTAAATGCTTGGGGGCCCAATAATAACATTTACAGCCGAAACCCATCGAAGGTGTAACTTTTTTGTCCATTTTTCCCGTCTTTTTGCTGTAGAAATGCTGTCCAGAATGATGGCGATTTGGCAACTTTGCCCCCTAATTTCTCAAAAACCGTGCGTATATTCAAGCTAAAATTTTAACCAGAGTTTTAGGGTATCATAAGGTATCGTTTGGGCCCGATTTCAGAAAAATCCGCGCTGGCCCAAATTGTGCCATTCTTGGCGTCGCTCTTTGTCCTTAAAGTTGAAAAAAAATAATTTGAGTATGAAAAGAGGCATCAAACCTAATCGTGAACATAGCTTACGGGACGTAGAAGAGTTGGGGCATGGAAGAATAAAACCTCCAACATATTTTTTTCAGTTTGAGCTTGATGTGATTTCGTTTCTCTATGATAAGCTTGTTCGATTCGTGGGTTTCAATTGTTGATTTTCTGCTTGAAACATCTCTGATTGATTTATATATTGCAAAAGAATCTTTTTGCCAAACCTAATAGTTTGGACCCCAGTATTTCAAAAATTGAACTTTTGTATAGACATTTCTTTATGATTATTCTAGAGATTGGCATTTTGGTTGTTCCTTAAGAATGCTCACAAGGATCAAAATCAGCAGTGTATTAAAGTGAGAGCAATATATCAAAGTTGTGAGGATCCACCATGATGTCGTGTAAGCTTGGTGAGACTTAATTTAGTTAGTGAACTACCTATGCATCAAAGTGAAGCCAAGCCTTAACATTATACTCTGCTCCGCAGTATCTACTTTTATTCGGTTTTCATAGATCAATCGACCTGTCAGTAACCAAAATTTACATTAACCCGAGATGCAAATCAACTGATATGATCAAATTTTTGTAAGTAAAGAAAGAGTTGCTTTTCAGATAGCTACGGTGATTTTATTTTATTTATTTGGACAAAAAAAGTTGTTTAATAAATTATCAAACTGATTTGTCACAGTAAAATGGTGTAATGTAGCACCCTAGACTCATCCTGGAATTCGTGGGATCCAATCTGAATTGCAATCAAATCGTAATCTATTTTGTATTATTTCTAAACATTAAGAAGCAGTCAAAAAGATGGCAATAAGTCACAGAAAATAATAAAAATATGATCCTATATATAATGAGTCAGCTGAGCAGATTCGTTTTATTGCCTCAAAACCACAGCCTAGGCCGAATCCAAAATAATTCAATCATTTTCTGAACCCCCATGTAGATGAAATCATTGCAAAAAATTTGTGCAAATCCAGATACAGTTGGAACTGAAAGACTGTTTACGTCCTTAAAACAGCGTCTTCAAAATTGCAAAGGCCCTGCCCAAAAATTATGTTTAATAACTGCAGCGGTCATAAAATAAACCAATCATATCTTAATTTTACTGAATTCTGCAGGAAATTTTGATTTTTCATTGTAAATGCTTGTACTTGGCAGGTTTGTCATTGTATAATTATCCTTCGTATGGTTTCCTATCAACCAAGGCCATCTCATTATTCAGTCGAAGTTTTAGGGTTTTCCAAGGCCTGGACTAAACTTTTAAATGTGCTCTCGTTGAAGGGTCTTTCAGACTTGGAACTAAGTTTTAAAAAAAATTAATCAGAATTTAAGGACGGCTGTTGATATTTTATAGACTTTTGCAAGGCTGTATTTACACTGCTGTACTACTTTAACTGTTTAAACTCTGAATATTCATAAATACAGGGTCCCCTAAAAAGTTGTAAAATAGGACATACATCAAAACACTCGTTGTATTTGCCAGTAGTATTCTAAATTAATTCTCATACACCTCAGAGAATCACTTATTGTCAAATATAAATATCTGTTAGATTAAGTTATTGAAAAGTAAAAAATTACATGTTTTTATAAAGTTCTTGGCGAATGATTTCTTTCTCAAACAACCTACCTAAGCAATTCTAAGAAGAATCGTACAAAATTACATGTTTTCATGAAGTTCTTGGTGAATGATTACTTACTTGAGCAACCTGCGGTAGCAATTTAAAGGAAAATCGTAGAAATTCTCTGACATAAGAAATTCGTAAACTTCTCAATAGCATTCTCAAGCCCTGGGCAGATTTTATTCCCAAAAGCTATACAAATGGAGGATGAAGCTGTACAAGTCCATGACTTGGCCTTAGGTGAATAGAGGGATTTTCCAAAATTTCTCATGTGTACACACCTGAATTGTGAGATGTTGCTCCACGTTAAAAGTACATCATGCAATAGAAGTCTTTCCGCAGGAAAGTTAAAACCTGTGACTGCCTCTGACTTTTATGGAATCTTGTAAGGTTTTCGTAATTTCTCCTCAATGGATCACCAGACAAGGCGCAAATTTTAGAATTGTGGTTTCTGTTTCCCAGTCAAAATTTTATGTACAACATGATTTCTCACATCGAAAATTACTGAAAGTAACTTTCATCAAAGGTATCGTTTGTTTATGCACAAATTCAATCTTCCTGGTCCAAGAAAAACCATAATCTACTCTAGTTAAATCGCACACCCACTGCTATCGGCAGTTTTTGCAGTATCCAAATATGACAACTTCATTCTCGGCGCTTCTGCTCAGCTATTGCATGTTGTTATACTTTGAACAACACAGGGTGAAGAAGGAATTCCGCTTGTTCAAAAGCCTGCCAAAACCATTATAGTGCGGAAATTGATTCAAATTGGCGCTGATTTTTCATGTGAGCAGGAAATTCCAATTTTTTGTAGCCAATGTCAAACAAAAAACTTTAATATAGTTTGGTTGGGAGTTGATTTCAGTAATTTTCATTGCGCAAATTGTATTCTTCACCAACTTTTGAAATACATATCCAAACGTTTTAATCCATACCTCGTTCAGTGATTTATTGCCTATTGTGATTGGCTCGCGCTTTCTGCGCACTCTAATTTATTATAAGTCCATATGGACTACATTTTGCAACCAGGAATTACTGTTTCCGGCTCATGTTAGAGACAAGTCAATAAAACTTTTTTGTCATTGAAGAGGGCCGTCTCAAGCTCATTAGGGATTAAACTAGAGAGGTTCAATAGGCTCTTCCAAGAAAGAGAAAATGAAAAAAAAAAGTCCAAGCTTATTGAACATCAATCAGTTTTATCGTACAATTTTACAAATTTTCATCAGGTATGTACAAAAGCAGTCTGCACAGTAAAATAGTGAGTACGAGCACAGTATCAGGCATTTCTTAAGATAGTTAAGGTTACTTCACCTTATCGGAGGAAGATATAAAATACTGATTTTCAAGGTTGACATTTTGCAGAATGTCTTGCGACCTTTTTCGGTGAGAAATTTCTCTCATTCTAATGTCAGAAAAATACTGATTTCGGTGGTTTTGATTTATCGTTTGAAATTGAAACTCTGATAGTGTATAATCTTCCATGAAGTCAGGAACAAAAAAAAAACACGTAAAATTCAAACCTAGTATATAATCCTCCATGGAGTCAGGCGAACAAAAAAGAAATTCGAAAAAATGTGCTTGTACAACCGTTGATGTACTTTTTACTTGTGTTTCTTTTTTTCCTCTGAAAGCACATATCGCTGAATATTATTTCGTTGAATAATTGGTCCTTGATAAATCAGTCGATTCCGGGAGGTCTGGGATCGGCTTCGGTCCAGGGTTTGGATCGTTGTTATTTTGGATAGTGGCAAATGTACTTTTCATCTGATCCAGCGCCACTCCAAGCCCAGTCTTAATTTGATTGAACTCTTGGGTGACCAAGGACAATCGTCCCAGCAAGTAATTCAAATCATCGCTGACCTCCGACATGCGTTCAGTGATTTTTCCGACCTTGTCATCCATCCCTCCTAAGGTCGTTTCAGTCTGATTAATGTATAGCTCTGTCTGGTCCTGGACCTTGTTCAGCACATCGGCGGATGCTGTCAGAGTCGTGTACATTATACCTATCTGTCTCCAGACTTGACTTATCTCCGTTTCGACCTTAATACTCAGGTTTGTCAACGTGTGGTTATGGTTAAAAGCTAGTGAACTTGTGAGATTATCGAACCTATAGTTAAGAGTAGCGTTAAGCTCTTTCGAGCTGAGTCGGACCAAGTCACCCATTTCGACTAGAATTTGGTGTGTTCCATACTCGATCCTTCGCTTCATGTCTAGAACATTGTCTGCAGTCTGTATGAGAACTTGTTCCACTTTGACAAGGGCCTTGACTTCTTTCGACAGTTGATCGTAACGCTTTTGTATATCGGCAAACATATGTTCTGTTATGTCTGTCAGATCACCGAGTGACTTGTACAGTTCGGACTGTCCGTTTGTGTACAATGTCTCTAACCCATGGATCTTATCGTCCACGCTCAGTCTGCTCTTCTCAGTAATCTTTATAATTTCAAACTTAGCATCATTCACCATCTGATCCATTTTCCCCTGTACTTCTGTTAGTGCTCTTTCATCACTACCTCCTTGGCCTGGGTTTGATGCAACTTTATTAATCTCCTGAATCATATAGTCTGTCGAGTTCCTCAGCATTGCCGTTGACTGAGCCACTTCATTAGATATTCTATCCTCTAGTCGGTTTATCATTGCTCCTAGAGAGTCCACTTTATCACCTAGTGCTTTTATTTCCGCCGTCTTCGTCTCTGGTATATTAACATAGGTTTGATAGCCACTATTTTTCAGGTTTAGCTGATTTGACGCCTGTAGAAGGAAAGTTAATGAAGCATTAGAACATCTCATCAATTAGGCAGTTTTAAAGGTTTAAAAGTGCATAGTACGTTGGTGATAGAAAGTGGATTTTGAACGTGAATGAAGGACAAAAATAATCAAACAGGTTGTCATTAGTCAATCTGAAAGTATCTTATTTCTTTAAGTAGTTCTTTTACATGAAGAATTTGCATTAATGGGATCACCCCACACTGTTAAATATGAAAATCCAATCATGAGAAATTAAAAATGTTTACATTTAGCTGAGGACGACATAATTTGTGGAAAGCATTGGAATTTCGATTTATGATTTAATGACTCCATGCGGCGCCCACGGCTAAAACTTATAAGTAACATCCACGAGCCATTGTAGTCGCTTCAATTCCTCTTTAAATTCTGCTTTGATCTCCTCTGATGATGTTTTAAGACTTATCCTACAACAAAAAGACCCCACCTTTTACCAGTTTAAGTGGCGGGAGTTCATAGATCTCGAACAATGATTTACTTTGGACACTGGAAAAGAGGTGAACCAGAAGTAAGTCTGAGATTTTTTCCGTCCAAAGGAATAATGCTAGAACTCCATTCCAGACTTCTGGATCTTTTCCTAACACAATTAAGTATCTTATAGGTTCTCCAAGAATACCATTTACCTAGAAATGTACTAATGTACCTAGTAGATTACTTTTCAAAGTATTACCTATTTTATTGTAGGTACGACCTCCTATTCGTATGACCCAGTCAATTTGAGTACTTGAGGGATAATTCTGAGCTACTTTCTTTTTAATAGAACGTTTTGTCATAAGAAACTTTTGAAAACTTACCGGATTTACGGGGCTCTTGCTGAGAAAGGCAGATTAGACCTGTAGATTATATGAAGAACCGTAAAAGGGAGACAACTTATTCTAACAGCTGCTTTTAAACTCATGATTTGAACCATACCTGTGAGTCGATAGATTTTTCCAAGTTGTCATATTTGCCCGTCAGTTCCGCGAGGTTGCTCACCAGGAGATCCATTTTCCCTTCCTGCGTTTTTAATCGTTTATCAAGAGATCCAAAAGCTTTTTTAATCTGTTCTCCCAGTTGTTTCTCCCTGAGCTCATGCCGCTCCAACTTATCAATATTGTCGTGGACTAAATTAACTAGAGAAAGAATCGCAGTCCTCAGATCGTCTTGACTGAAACAAAGCCATATAATGCTAGTATAGTCATCTCTGATGGGAGCAACTAGCTAACCCCAGTGGTGTACCACTCAACAAATCTCATTGCTTATAAGAGTGTTTCGCAGCATTTTGACATGAAAATGCCAAAAATGAGCCGCATTTAGCAGAAAGAAACCAAACCACATCCGCTATTGCTGATTGAAACTGGGCGATTTTTTTTTATTTTTTTTTTTCTTGTCGGCCTCCTGTGGTGTAGTGGCTGTAGCGCTGGGCCTATGACCAAGAGGTCCTGGGTTCGATTCCCGGCCAGGTGATCTGAGTTTGATGGTCTCAGGCAATGGTCACCTGGGGCTGGGGTAATGAGCGTGGGATTAGCCGATAGGCTCTTTAAAATTGGTTAAAAACAAACAAGAGAACGTTTGTGCAGACTCCTTTAAAAATTTCAAAGAATTTGCTTCGCGCTATGCCCAAAATTCTCTGAACTTAGCCGAAAAATCTGCACAACCGGTTTCTTGTAAGAAATCGTATTGCCCAATTAAAGGCAATAGCTGATGTGGCTTGGTTCCTATCATGCTTAAATGTGAAACCAAAAGAGGATTATGAGCGTTTGAAGCTAGCAGTTTGAAAACTAGTTTGAGCAAAAGGCTATTCGAAGTTCTAAACTGCGGCATGTTCAGAGCTCAAAATCGTCAGATTATGTATGGGTATCACAACTCAACTCTGATATTTTTATCCAATCAATCAAAAGTTGCTCTCAAAAAAAATGTGTCACCTTAGACCTAGATCCCTTTTTCCATGGACATTGTTAATACAATTATTTGCTGGTTTTGCACGTTTCAAATTGAAGTTTTCATGTAGAGATACATTAGATATCAAAAACAAAGAAGCAGCCCAACGTCTGAGTTAAATCAAGACACTGCAAGCAAATAAAAAAGGCTGAAAACTTGACCTAATATACTACGAGACGTTTCGGCGCTCTTCTATTATATGTCCTCTTTTATACATATGTAGTTCAGTAATTGCAAAAGAGTTGAGGAAAAGGGCCCTTCAGGTGAAAAATCTGACTGCTCAACCCATCAAAAAAAGTGATGCCTGATCAATAAAACTGATTCTCTGTTTTTTAATCTAAACGCTTTGTGCTATCCTCCAGAGCATTTGGTCAAAATTACAAGCAATAATTTCCATTATCAATGATGTTTAATTGCAAGGATTTGGAATAATGATAACCATTTTTGAAGCAAGCAGCAACGTCAGCAAAATCTATCTGAATTTTTTTATATTTGTTTACTTGCCCTTTCTTATTCTCTTTCTTTAAAATGCACTGAAAGTGTCAATTTTTGAATGTTCTAAGCGCCAAATTATTTAGATCCCCCTAAGCCACTGTACAGGGTGTTTCAGACAACCCGCACCAGGCCTTTTTCTCGGTTGTTTTTGGTCGTACGAAGTCGGGGACCGCGGGGTTGAATAGGGAACCGACCCCAAGGAATCCGAATTCCGTGGTCCCGAAACCCCACAACCCCTTGAGGGGTAAAGGGGGGAGTCACAATGCTATATGTCACGGTTCCCGACCGAATTGCGGATAAGTCGCATCAGAATTGAAAAGCACGGAAAACTTCTCGTGAAATTGACCCCTAAAAATCCAAAATCGGTCCATCTAAGGCCCAAAAATGAGCTCCTAAAGAGGGGGACGGTACCCCCCTCCATAATTTCTCTTTGGTCTCAAAATTGACGTAGATTCTCCAGAAAAAGACGGTTTCCCAGGTAATCGACCCCGAGAAATCCTTTCATGGTCCCGAAGCTCCTCTAGCCTTCCTTGGGGGGTAAGGGGGGGGGGAGGTTACGATCCCAAAATTTGAGGTTCAAATTGCGATTCGGTTGCTCGAATCGCAATTCTATCGAAGACCTCGAGTTAGGTTCGGATCGTAACCTCCCCTTTAACCAAAGACATAAAGACGGAGTGCTCGTATCTAAAAGCACGGGGAAAAAGTGAAGCCTGGTTTGGCGCTGGGTGCTTGTGTGAGTGTGTAAATGAGCGCGAGAATCCATGGCGGCAAACGGAAAGAGCCGTATGCAAAAACGACATTTTTCGCCCCCCCACTAAAACTTATTCAAACTTCGTCTATCAGTTACAAATACTGGAGCGCTTCTTTNGAAACCCCGAACTTTTAATGTTGTAGAGCTTTTAAAGCTCATGTCACTTAAGTCCAATGTTAATAGCGTGAGAGATATGTCGTTTCCGCTAGAAACGTCAAGGTGTGGGATTCTACCTGAGTGACTCGAATGAACAATAAAACAATGGAAAAGCTCGTGAAGGGCTCCTCATTCGAAGAGTTGAGGAACGGTGCATCGCTCAGGGTTCAAGGTTCAAGGTCCAAGGTCCAGGGTATAAGGTTTAACTCAATTTTTCCTGCATTCTTCCGGCTTCGATTTGTGGCATATTGGTTAATTTACTTGATTGCTGAATTTCTATCAAAATTTACAGCAGATACAATTTGAGAAGGCAGGCGCTGCGTCGCGTCGGGATGGACCAAATATTATTAACTCTTAACGGTCGAAATCCGATTTTTTTTTTAAATTAAGTATTTAAAAATAACACAATAAATGGAAATTTCTCCAGTAAGAGGACTGTGAAATTATGTACATCCAGCTATTCCTCATCATTTACAAATCTGAGAGTTACGTCAAAAATTTTGAATTCGATGCAGCTCGAACCCAAAATGGTGTATTAAAATGGAAGAACATTTTTGCCTATACATATGCGTATAGGTCCCGCGAAGCGGGCCTGAGGGCGCGAGGCGCAGGCGCCCTCCCGAGGGTTGGGCCGCGTAGCGGTCAGGGGGCAGGGCCCCCTAGTAATATAGATACATGGTTTCTTGGTTGATTTCAGGTCTACAATGCAACAACTAACGGGGTTTCTCGCCATTGCGTTCATCATTACTAAAGGCATCCTGCTTTCATGCGCAGCAGACATCAGGTAGTCTCATACTTTGTACTTTAATTTTACCAGGACAATATGTTCGGACAATGCTTTCCTGGCAAAATCTGACAGAACTTAGCATATCAGAAGGTAACAAGTAATGCAAGGTAATGCTCTAAGTAACACATCATAAATGATGAGAAATTACTTATGTATGGAGAAGTTTGATATTCTGATTGGAGGTACACATTTGATCTGTGCTTACAACTTTGTAGAAATGGAGACGAAATTGGGACAACACCTCTTGATGAAAAATGTGATTTATCTAACGTGTCAGTTCATCGAGGAAAGGCCTTATCATTACAGCAAATATTGAATCAAACACATGAACTGGGGACAAAGACTACAGGATTGGAACACTTGTGTGATTACTTTGATTCACAAAAAGCTGTGTAGGTAATATTAACTTCCAGCCATTTGGAAGTGAAACCCAAAAACGTTAGAATGTGAAAGTGAGGATTTGACTATCAACTGATTGCAACAGAATGAGAGAGAACGTCCACACATTGGACGACAATCTGCAACAAAGAATGATCTGTCACTGGCTCATCATCCATGAAAACAACTGTCAGCATATGGAAACTGATGGTAGATAGTTCGTTTCTAAAATAAGCCAGAATTATTACGTACGTGTCTTATGGCAAAATTATTCCCAGAGTACTTATAGTCCAGTAAACGAAACATTTTGATGGCCAAAAGTTAATATACTTACCTACGGCTGCATTCGGCCCAATCGATTCTACATAAAAAAGGTGTTTTTAGCCATAAGTCTCCATAAATCCCCTCATGGGATTCCGCATAATGGGCCAATGAAGTTGAAAATTGGAAAAATCAATACTTCACCGCGGAGCGAGAAATGAACTCGGAGAGCTCATTTAAATAAATAAATAATAATAAAAAAAAAATATAGGTAATTGAGTCTACTTTTCGAATAGGTAAGCTACGGTTTTGAATGTCAAAGTAAATTAAATGCGAGTATAATTTGTTCTGGCGGCCATTCATGTAATACTTAAGGCTTTTTGGACGACTTTTTAAACCTCCACCCCTTGTAAAGCGGCAGTACAACTACTTTTCAACCCCCTTTTGGATCAAGTAACTGCCCTGATCTCCCTCCCCCCTCCAATTTTCCAGAGGGTCACAGAGAAAGTGTGAAAACTGGCTGACTTTTTTTCCATTTAAAACTCTTATTTTTTCTTAAAGTTGGAGGCTCACGACGTAAGACTTTGACTTGGCTCCCCTCCCCCTTCGTGAGACCCCGTGAGCCAAACTTAAACCTTACTCTTTACTGTATTCCCTTTTAAACTCTTTTTCGAGTAAGGTAATGTTTCAGGCTCGCGCTCTTTAGCGTGGGTACGAATTAACTAAATTAACTTAACTTTTTTTCAGTTCATGCGTTTCCTGTTGAGAGTGACGTAACTCACCAAGCGCGGGCCCGCCCGCAGACTTTATCTCTGGGCCCACTAGGGTGGCCCATAATTATACACGGCAAAATTTATTCTGCCAATTATTTTGGTCTTACCCCCTAAAACTGATTCATTTGATCAAAAAACACTCCCTGCCAAGTTTCGGCCAAATCGGATAATATAACCCATACCGACGGCGGCATCTGTTTGATATGTGATTTTACAATGAAAAACGCTTTTTTTTTCGGAAAAATCCATGTCCCGGAAAATGTTTAATTTCTAGCAAAAAACTGAGGTCACATTCGGCATTAGCAGGAAAAATTAAGTGGGAAAAGTTGTAATAGACACCTCTAAAAAAATGTTTTATCCCTTGATACAGTGGTGAAACAACTGAAACATCTAGAAAATGCTAAAAAAGGGTAAAATGACGGTGATAAATCTCAAATAACTAGGTCTGCATCCGAAGACAAAGCTCAACATATGACAGGTGTTTAACATGTAATTTTTTCCGCTGGAAGTCCGGAAATACTCGTACTATGCATTTTTCTTTACTCCATCAGGAATTTCCGGGAAATCGATTTTCTCGTTAAAACAGGGGTTCCCCGGAAAAACTCAATTTTCAGGAAATAAACCTC